ACCTCCGACAGAAAGAGCAGAGGGTTATGAAAACAAAGGTTTGGGGAACTGTGAAAATTTAAGAGATGGAGAAAACTTTTTTAAAATGTACTTTAGAAAGTAGATGCTGTTTTTATGCCTCTGCACCGGCGATAGCCTCGGCCGTTGCCGTCATGTTTTCAAGTTGTCCGTCCATCTGAACTGTTTTGTAAACAATATATTAAGAAGGCCGTGAAGGAATTTCTTCAAATTTGGCACAAGTGTCCACTTGGACTCAGGGATGAACTAGAGATTAGTGGTCAAATGTCAAGGTCACTGAGCTCACATCTGTCCAGTTCCCATGACTTTGACTGGTTAGTCTATTTAATTACCACAAAGTGGTAATTCTAGTTTATGACACAAATTATGTTTACACTACAGGAGGTAATTACAAAATGGTAGGGAGGAATAATGAGCATAAATTGATAGTTTTCTAAAAATATTTTTTCAAAAATGATCAGATATTTGTTACATCTTATAGTCATTGTTTGTGGTTTCATGTATTTACAGTACTAGCTACAGTATGAATGTAATGCATGTGATGGAATGGTGAGAAAACAGAACAGTGAGAAAAGTACAGAAGTATTCAAAGTCTTATAAGGTGACGCTTCTGGAGATACTTTTGGCAGGGAGTGAAAAATTGGAAGAGAAGGAGAATGGTGGAGTTTTTCTGCATCCAGGGTGCACTTCCTCGAGCTGTTGCTAGAAGGAAACACAGCTGTAACCAATAGGAATCTGAGCCAAAGAGAGAGAAAAAGTGAGAAGGTGGCAATGAGTTGATGAAGGAAGGGAGGAGGAGGAATGGTGAGATGAGGGGGTAGAGGGAGAGACGGTAGGTGACAAGAAGGTGGGATGAGAAAGAAAAGCAGAGAGAGGTGGTAAGAAGAGTGAGAAAGAGAGGAGGTGAGAAAAGGAAATCCTCCTCTCTCTGAGATCTCAAAGAAGACGCATAACACTCTAGAGCTATGAAACGTCTTTATACAAAGTATCTATATATGTGTGTAAATATCTTTCTATCTGTTTATGGACCCTAGCTATTTTATCTGGGTAGCTACTTGACTACAATCGTGAAAACTGAAATACAGCAACAGTAAACGGCCACAAATATGGAAACAAGTGTAAATGACATCAACACAGTGTGTAAAGGTTTTTTAGAGAAATGGCACCTCAAAGTATTTCTAGTTGTGTCGACTGAAAATGACATTGGCAGGACAAATGTATCGCTACCGGCTGGTTTGGGCAAAACAAAATAAAATGCCCCCAGTCTCCCAGCAAGAAATCAGCTAACGTGACCACATTATCAGGCTGCATGAATGAAATAAAACAAGGCAGCAATTTCGTTTGATCATTAGGTTAGTCCAACATGGATAAAGTATAGCAAATATGATATTTTATTAAAACACGATTTTACAGATGTACTATAGGATTAAAGGCCTGTTTGTAATATAAGCCTATTTTAGATAAGGGCCTGCAGTTAAAGTCATTAAAGGCCCCAGGTACTGCTTTAAATTCACAAGTTAGCAAGAGAAGAGCATAGAGAGAACCAGCTATATAGCAGCATGGGTATGATGCACATCCACTATCTATTAAGAGAGCGGGTAAAGAAGAGAGTGCTGGGGTGAGCAAAGTACACAATAGAGAAAAAGGCAAGAGAGCAGTTGAGAGAGAGTGAGGTGTTGTAATTACTGCAGTGTACCCAGGCAGAATTAGCTAGACGGGCAGTGATTAACCTTTAAGGCTTGCAAGGCCATGGGAGGAAATAATTAGATTTCCCCTCTCTCCCTCTCTGTTTGCCACAGGGACAGAGGAGGGTGGAGGCTCATCGCTTATTGCTTACAGTCAACAGAGATGGACTGAGGCACTCTAAATAGAAAGTGATACCCAAACAGCTACGACCTCAGGGTGTCCGGTGTGTACGGCTTGACAGGCACTTTGGGCTCAGTGCAGGGTGCAAAGCAAGGATGGTCTAATGTAGTGGTTACCAAACTGATTGGCAGGGCACTCCTGGGAACACAAAGCCAATGCAGGCGTGGCATACTGCATGGTCAGTGAAAATGTAGAATCTGATTAATGTTGTTCAGTAATAATAAACCAAATAGTGTTTTCAGGCTAGTAAGATTTGATAGGGATGAAAAGAAAAGTTCAAACACTGGATCAAACTGGGTAATAATATCTTCAGACAGGACTGTTCTGGCAGATACCAGGCTTCAGCAAAGTTCCATGAAATACTGGACACAACCCCCCAGTTCCAACCTTCCAAAGCTGTGAAAGGACAACATTTCAGACTATGTTTGATGATTTGACAAGCACTTGGTTTGGATCATTTTATACCCTGTAAGGATGGCTTTTTACATGAACATAAAATATAAGAAAATGCAAATGTAGACAATAATTGCACTTAATCTCCATAGCACAAAAGCAACATTAATTACACATGTTGAGATAATAATAGCCCATTGTGAATGAGCAGTATAAATGTACCAAGCAATCAAGCAAATGCATCAATCTAAAGTCAAAAATATAACCATGTTATTTCAAAAGTTTGAGAAGCCACGGCCTTATGAAGATAAATAGAAATTGCCCCTGAAGCTTCGTCCCGT